CACCCAATTAAAGAGCTAACAAAACTTTTTAACGGAAATAAATATGTTACAGTAACATTCCTGTTTCCAACACTTTGCTAATGATTTTTTCTTAGCAGCTACTTTTCATGATTTTAAATTTCGTAAATTCGAGTTTATCAAAAATGATATCTATAGATATGAATGCATTTCAAAGGCAAAAATGTTTATAAAAACATTTTATGAAATGCATCTAAAAAAATCCGAAGAAATCAATATAACAATTGAAACAAATTTTTTAAATAACACTTTGAACTCGTCAAACAGCTCAGCTGACAATACCATAAAAACATTTTAGCAATCGTCAATGCCACCTATTGCAAATAATATTAATTTAGTTAACAACAAAAGACGAAAGTCAATCAAATTAATTAAACTAGTAACAGATAAATCTTGTTGTAAATTAATTGAGAGCAATGATAAACTTGAAAATTAAATAAATGATTACTGTCTGCAATACTTTCAGAGCTACGAAAAAAGTGCTATCGAACTTTTCCAAGTTAATCAAAAATTGTTCCCTATTTGACACAAATTGGATAATATTTTCAGTTCCAGCAACATCCGTACCATCAGAATGCTTATTTAGTGCAACCGGTTTAATAGATACAGAGCTACGGAACAGGCTTGCGCCGAGCTTATTGAAGCAGTAAGTTTCTATTAAAGAAAACAAGTAATTAAAAACACATTTCTTTACTAAATTATATTTTAGTAAAAGTGCATTTTATAAATCTTAGTAATTCAAAGCATTTGTATTCTTTTTTTTTATCTGATGAACTTTTTTACAAACAGCTTAATTAATGACAATATGTTTTCTGCTATAATCTTTTAAATTCTGGAAAAAACACCAATATCCAATTATTGAGCTGCCATCAGGGCAGGTGCAAGTAGGTGTGACGTGGTGGGGTGTCATTAAACTTTTTGTTGAGTAAAAAATTAGGTAGCTTGCAACAATAGCATTTACTGTTATGATATTGCCCTTTTTTAAGAAATCTTGTCCAACCAACTTATTATAAATTTGATTGTTTTATCTTTCCCTAACTTGACGAAAATCTTTATGAACAAAAAAATTACTAAAAGAAAGTCTACTGTTAATTTTCTAGGAGTGATTATAGATGAAAATATATCATAGAAATATCATATTAAATCTATTGAAAATAAAATCTCCAAAAATACTTCAATGCTATATAAAGTTAAACCTTTTCTAAATACGGAGTCTTTGAAAACCATATTTTTCATTAGTGAGAGTTAGGGCACAGTGGGTCAGATTTCTTTCTTTTTAATTTGAGTGAAAGTTCAAAATATATATTTTATCTTTGTCAAGGCTAAAGAATTGAGAAATATGTCCTTCATGATAAAAAATCACTAAAACCTAAATATTTATTATCTAATAGCTCACATAAAGGTTTAAAGTGAATTGTGTTAAGTGATTCACTGTACCCAAGTACTGGGGTACAGTGAAACAATTAACACATCTGCAATTTAGTAGTATTTAATGGGGGCGTAGCCAAATAATTTTGAGGATAAGAGTGTAAATACATTGTACACTATACTTCTGGCGCACTTTTGGTAATTAATTTATTCTTTATTTTTTCTGATTGAATAAATAAAGAATAAATTTTATTGATAACAAAACTTATTTAACTATCTAAAATCACAAAAAAAAATTTTACCTAATAAAACCAACATCAAAAGAAATTTTTAAAAGTGAATTTTTAATTTTTATAAACATTTTAATTTTTATAAACATTTTTATCACAGTGAATCAGCCAATTCACGGTACCCCAATTCATTGTGTCCCACCATAAAAAAAAAGGTTCAAATTTAATTTCTTGGGACATGAGTGTTATTAAAGGTATAGCTAATCTACTAAAATATAGCATAAATATTAGTATTCCGAATATAAAACTTTAACTTATAAAACAATTTTAACCATGATCTCCACAACAAACATAAAGATAGTAAGAACATTTACTTTAGTTAGCTAAAAACATAAATTACCAAACAAAAACCTAGAGCCAAAAATTATAGGGTAACACCTATAAATAAAGATGGGTAATATGTGCGCACATAAACTGATTACATCACCGTGATGAACAAAATCATAATCTTTGAGAAAATGCTTCTCATTCACTGCGCCCCTCAATCCACTGCACCCCAACTTCCCCTATTCATAGTTATCTTTCCTATTGTAATCTTGCATGGGAAAGTACCAATTATGGGAAGCTCAAAAATATTTATAGCAAACAAAAACATTCATGCAGGATTATATTTGGCGTTAACAGAACTGTTAATGATGAATCTCTTTTAAAGAAACTTAATGTGCTTAATGTTTATAAACTTAATATATACCAAGTTATGCTTTTTACGTTTAAATCAAAACATGCGTTATCTCCAAATATATTTCACTCTTGCAGAAATATCTCATTAATACCCATCTGATAACTTTGTTATTCCAAGATCTTATTTAAAACTCAATTCATTTCAAATTTAATACCGTGGACCATTTATATGGAAAAGTTTTTTAAAAAACATTATTAAAGGTAAAATTCTTCTAAGAACAATTCTAAGAACATCTCCTTAGGGGCCATCCAAAAAGGACGTCACCATTTTTTAGCCCATTTTTGACCCCCTCCCCCCCTTTGTCACCGATTGTCCTTTTTCCCTATACCCCCCTTGAAAAGGATGTCATAAAATCCTAAAAGATAAAAATAAACCCCCCCCCCCTATTTTTAACTCGAAAAAAATTTATTTTATCTCGCAATGATGTTTGAATCTGCTGCTACACCTTTGAAAAATAAAATTAAAAATATTCTCATACATTATCTTCTTAAAAACACATGTTTACGTAGTTTTCCATGTTAATTAAGTGAGGTCCTTTTCTGACAACCTCCCCCCCTCCCCTTGTCCTTTTATGTCCTTTTTAACTCGACCCCCTCCCCCCCTATTTGGATGACATCCTTTATGGATGGCCCCTTAGAACAATTCAAAAGAGAATCTAAACGTTTTCTATTAGAAAAAAAACTTTAATATTTATTTTAATATTTCTTTTAAAAGTTCCTAAAATGACCTGAAAAAGTCATCACTATTCATTTATTGTTGTCTTGATGTGTATCTTATTTATTTCTCATTAAAATAAAATATATATACTATTAATTTTAAACAAACAAACAAAACAAAAAAACAAAAAACTTTACGATTTATTACTTGTGTTTTATATGTGTAAATTTATATATATTATATATATATATATATATATATATATATATATATATATATATATATATATATATATATATAAAGACTAAATATCAAAAGTTGATTCATTCAAAAATTAAATTTCTGTGTATACGCAAAAAAGTTGTTTGGGCGACTTTTATTAAAACTGAAATTTTTTACTTTTGTTCATTTAAAAAGCAGTTCACAGGAAGTTGGGAATTGTGATAATTAATTATATAACTGTAGTTATTAGGCAACTAGGAAGTTACACTAAATTTAAATACATTGAATTTTAGTTTGGTCATTTGTTTTTACAATTTTTTAAAAGGTATTTAATAGGCAAGTTCATTTTTTTGAAATAGACCAATTAAATTTAAAATTATTTTTTTTTTCCTTTTGGTTGCCAAATATATTTTGACAGCATAGTCTTTTCTTATGCGTATTTTTCATGTTTAAAAAATTGTTTGTGGTTGGCATAACAATTTTTCCTTTTGCCTTTCTTTAAGATGTTACTTCCGTTACTTCTGTTAAGCCAGGTTACTTTTTGAGGAGCCAATGCACAAAATATAAATAATATTTTTTGATGAGCATTTGCCATTCATAAGACATTTTTTATTATTGTAATTGTAAACTTTTTGTTTGCTATTACAATATTCAGCATTTTTTCTTTGAGAAATTCATTTTTTTAAATCAATGTAACATTGTGGCTTTAATAATTCTTTTTTTTTATTTTTTTTGCACAGCTTTGCTTACTTTGATAGTATCTGTTAAAAATTATGTGCACATTATTAGAGGGAGGCAAATGTTTGTCTATTAATTTTAAAAATGCTTTTCCAAAATTTATTAAAAGATTTTTGCTGTATGGTGGGTTGAAACAAATTATTTCTTTTTCTAGTTCTCTTTTTTACAATTTTTGTTTTGAATTTTAGCTCGAAATATTTAAATTTGCTTTTTTAAAGAGCATTTTCAAACACTTGTTTAGAAAAATTCAAAATATTTTCATTAAAAGAGCATGTCGAAACAAAATTAGATAAATGTTTTCACAAATTTATTATTGTTCTGTTTTTTAAGAACATATAATTCATGTGTGTGTGAGTGAGTGTGTGTGTGTGTGTGTGTGTGTGTGTGTGTGTGTGTGTGTGTGTGTGTGTGTGTGTGTGTGTGTGTGTGTGTGTGTGTGTGTGTGTGTGTGTGTAAACATAGATGTATATATAAATGTATAAGTACATATAAATATATATGTATACATAAATATATATATACATATATATATATATATATATATATATATATATATATATATATATATATATATATATATATATATATATATATATATATATGTATATATATATATATATATATATATATATATATATATATATATATATATATATATATATATATTTTATTTAAATGAAGAAAAACAACATTATAATAGTACTTAAAGTTTCGTGCCTTTCGGCAATCATCAGCTATTAATTACAAATTTGTAATTAATAGCTGATGATTGCCGAAAGGCACGAAACTTTAAGTACTCTTATAATGTTGTTTTTCTTCATTTAAATAAAATATATATATATTTCTCTATTATCATAATATCGAGCACTGTTTTTTGTACAAGAGTTTTGTATTATTTTATATAATACATAATTAATCAATATATATATATATATATATATATATATATATATATATATATATATATATATATATATATATATATATATATATATATATAAATTTAAGTTGTTGCATAATATTACACTAGTTCCAGTTTTGACTTTCATTCCCACATAAACTGTTGAGTCCTCACGATTACCAACCTAAAATATTCATCTAATAAATTCACAACAATAAGTAATAAAAGGTCCTCAAGTAGCAAACAATATTTTTATTATGAAAAATATTGCTTACAGTATGTAAATTGTTATTATAATATAAAATATTACTTTCAGTATGTAAACAAAATGAAAATTATTGTGCTAATATTGATTGCTACTTGGGTAAATAATTATATCAAATAATAAATACTATAACAATGAACTTATGAACATAATATTGTTGTAATATCTATAATCTTTTATTTAAATTGTACTTATTTTGCACAAATACCAACAATTTAATAAAAAGGTATAATAAGGTTCATATAGCACACCTAAAGTTTGCATTCCTTTACAGTAATTTGATTCATTATATAAGTATAATTGATAAGAGATATATAACAAGATAAGAGTATAAATTTGTTTTTAATAAATAATTGCGAACTTAATATACAAAAATAATTTTACGGCTGCTAATTAAAATAATATTACTGAATAAAAAAATTATTTTTTAACAGTTGTCTGTCTGATTTTTTTGTCATTAAAACTTAGTTACAATATCTATAGGAACAAATGCATACGTTTGCAGCCTATTAACATAAGTTATTTGTTACTTTTGTTAATGTTAAACAATTAAATTTGTGAAACATATGCTAACATACATTTCATAACAAACATAAGCATTAGCTTTGCAATAGGTATTCATCATTCTAGTAATTCTAGTAGTTCTAGTAATTTGTTAGTCAGTACAGTAATGTGTTCCAGGAATTTGAAGTTACAGTAACTTATATTAGTAATTCTTTTTTTGGCAACAGGTTTGTTACAATTATGTTGCAGCAACTTCTTTAAATTTGGTATATGTCACAGTAAATTCATGCCAGGATCAGGATCATTGTGAAAACTGTTTTCTGTTAACTCCCAACTTACTCAGTGGTTGATTGCAGCCTTTTTGGGAGTAAATGTGTTTTTAAAAAAACAACATTTTATTTCTGACAGAAATTTTAACCATGATTTTAAAACATTATATTTGAAGAAAGAAGCTACAAGAACAATTTTAATAACACTGAAGTTTTGTTGTTGCAAATTTAAACAAAACACTCCTTATCATAGATAACATTTTAAAGTTTGAACTATAAGATACAATAAAATACTTAACTAAATTATGAATGATTTAAAGAAAATTTTTTTTCTTTATAGCAGTAACTCCTTAAGAGACCTTTGACCGAATAATTTATATTCACTAAATATATCCATCAAAGCTGTTTTATACATTTCAAATGCTTACTAATTAAAGTCGCAATAATTATTTTTAATACTAACTTTATATCAAAGAATATTACAATTTATAAAGGGATCCCAAACCTTCATAATATAAGCAGCAATCTACAGACTTGATAATTTGTTCAAGCACTTTTAATTCCTAAGAGTTTTAGTACATGGCGCCATTGATTTTTTTGTTTATTTACATAATCGATGTTTTGTTTTAAACAAACAAAAAACCAATGACATCATGTACTAAAACTCTTAGGAATAAAACGCGCTTAAAATAATTATCTAGTCAAAAGATTGCTGCTTATATTATGAAGACAATATGGCCTAGAACAAAATGGAAAAGGCAAGCTTCCATAAAACAAAAAAGTTTTTCTTTGTATGTGTTCATTCTTTTGTTTTAATAAAAAAAATTCAGCCTAAACGTATTTTTTTAAATCATTCTCTTTAATATGAACACAACATCTCTCAAAGGTTTGGAATCACTTTAATAAAGTAAAGATAAACTTTAAAAACATTGTCTTCAAAAATGATGTTATCAGAGGTTTAAACAAGTTAATAGCTCATACCTATATTGCAAAATGTCAAGCAAGATACTTAAGGCAACAAAGGAAAAGTTGGCAAAAGACAGCTGTACTGTCTTAGGTGATTTTGCAGAAAACTACTTGCTTGTGATTCAAGATAAAATTTAAAGTTACAATTGGTGCTAAATTTAATGCACATTACACCCTGTTGCTAATTATTTATCAAACAAAAATGACCAGCCTAAAGAAAAATAAAGAAAAAGTTTTGCTTCATGTCACATGATAACAAACAATGGTTTTTCTGTATGAAGTTCAGACGCAAGTAGTTAATTATTTAAAAGAAAATAATCCTAATATTTAAAAGAAAATAATCCTAATATTTAATATTTAAAAAATATTTAATATTTAATGTTTACAAAAATAAATGTTTTATAATATATATTTTTTAAATTGTCAAAATTTTGAAAGTTAATTACAAATTATATATTTTATTAATATATTCTTAATTTTTATATCCTTTCTTAGTGGTTGGTTTAATTAATTGTTCGTTAGATTTGTAAAAAACTAACAAACAATTAATAAAATAAACTTTTAATAAAATAAGTAACTATAGTTAGCTATTTTAGTAAAATTTAATAGTAAAATTTTTAAAGAATTTCTAGAATGTTTCCAACGACGTCATGCACTAAAACTCCTATGAATTAAACGCGTTTGAATAAATTATGAAGTCTGTATAATGTGTCTGGAAAATTGTGTTTATTTTACATACTCAAAACACCACAGAAAATGGAGAAGACGAGCTTTGACTAAAACAACAAGATTTGTTTTTCTTGGTATACATGAATAAATTAGTTTTAATCAAAAAAAATTTGCTCAGATGTTTTTTTTTTAACATTCTCTTTAATATGAACACAACATGTCTTGGGACTTGGTAGTCCCTTTAACTTAATTAGCAAATTAATACCAATACATTGAAATTTAGTAATTTATACTGTTTAAATAGGGAAAAGATTACTACATTTGTCCAACAACATCTGTGGAGTAGTGAAATAACATCCGCACATTTTTGTGTAAGATCATCCGCTTTTTTTCTTTACTGAATTAACATCTGTGCAACAACATCCGAAATTTCATTGATGTCTAATAACATCTTTAGAAAGATGTAACTACATCCAAGAGTTTTTCTCAATGTGTAACTACATCTGCCTAAAATAATGCATTATTGAAAATAAAATAAAAAATAAAATAAATTTGCGGACGTAGTTACATCCGAAAAAAATCAGATGTGTAATTACATCTGGTTAAAATAATGCATTTTTAAATTACTTTTTTCCTGGATGCAGTTACATCCGCAAAAAATCAGATGTGTAACTACATCTGGTTAAAATTATACATTATTAAAAAGAAAATTCCGCATGTAGTTACATATATAATTATTATATTATTAAAGTGCTGCTACATCGACTGACAAATAGCCTGACTCGCAACGGAGTGCTGCTACATCGACTGAGAGTTTGGTTTGGGCAGGCAGTCTATCAAATAATTAAAAAAAAAAATTTATTATGCTTAAAATAATGCATTATAATATTTTTTTTTGGCGGATGTAGTTACATCCGAAAAAAATCTGATGTGTAACTACATCTGGTTAAAATTATGCATTTAGAAAAAAAAAAATTTGATGTATTTACTAGTGATGTGCCGGGTACCCGGTTCGGACCCGGGGACCCGGCAATTCGGCTGTTTTACCGGGGACCCGGTATCGGCCATTTTGTTGCAGTACCCGGCACCGGGTATCTTCAAATTGATTTTTCCTTTAGTTTAAACTTTAACCATTAAACTTCTTGATATAAGTCTAAGAGTGTTATGTAGTCGATAACCACAAAGTTCTATTAACTTAAAACAATCTCACTTAAAATATTTTTTAATACATTTCTGCAAAAATATTTATACGGATACAAAAACTGTAACGCTAAATGAAATACTTCGAGAATACGAATAAAAAGAATGGAAAAAAAAAGATTTAAAATAGCTTCTTTTTATTCTGTTAGAACACAAGATAATTTTGCCAAGTTTTTATTCCAACTTTTAAAAAATGGACTCGGTGCCGAGTACCCGGACTCGGACCCGGTTTTTCCAGCCAGGTACCCGGAATCGGAGACTCGGCATAAACTGGTTCTGGCACATCTCTTGTATTTACATCCGAAAAATCTACAAATGTAGTTGCGCGGATGTTATTATACATCAATGAAATTTGGGATGTTATTGCACACATGTTATTATACATCAATGAAATTTCGGATGCTGTTTCACGGATGTTATTATACATGGCAAAAACGGATGTTATTGCCCTGACCCGTGTAAATATGGTGTTTCATTGAATTAGTATGATAAATGAAATTGACAATATTAAGCAAAATGTTATGGTAACATTTATGAACCTGCATGGTTTAAACAAACTTTTCTGGCCATCTAGAACAGATGAGTATTGGGTTTGAATTATCAACATAGTTTGTTTCATTGATGCACCTATAACAACAACTAGATGAAAGTATACTTTGACCATTGACACATAAAAAAATCTTAACAGAATCTTGACACTTTATACTTTTGTATTTTATTTTGTAAATAAATAAAACAAAACAAGTACAAATTGAAAGTGTAAACAAACAAAATTTTTGAGAAAATAAGTGAGAATGGACCCTCTGTGATCACATAACTTCCTGGCTAAAGCTGTTATAACATTAAAAATAAAATAAAAACAAATACTTGTATGTAGAATCACCTGCAAAATTGATAGTCCTGGAGAAAATGAAGGATGCTTTTCTTTTATTGATGCAATTTCTGCACTTGCATTTTTCAATATTTCTCTACAACAAAATGAAAAACTTTTAAAAAAGCAGAACTATAAAAACATAAAACATGGTTATTAACTTTGGTGAAAACTTTTTATACAATTATTGAGTAAAAACATTTTTATTTTTGCAAATGTGTCATCTTTTTCATCAGATATGAAAAAAAAATTTATTATCTGAGTAAAAGACAAAACATATTTTTAATTTTAAAAATCTCATTTTATTATACATGACTAACAAAAAACACATGCAATATAATAAAAAATATATATATATTTGTCTTTGTTTTTGTTCTGTGTGCAATGGAAATCTGAAAATGTGTACACTTACATCTTTTGAGGCAAGGAATCCAATAAAACAACTTCAAGTATATAAAAATTTGTTACTTATAAAATATGAAAATGAAAAAGAAAACAAAAAGAAAGGTTGTATTCCTCAATGCTTAACACAGAGAAGTTGATTTTTAGAAAATTTTCCCACCAATCCTGAGCATATTAAGACTCTGTTTAATAAATTTTACTTGTTATGAACAAAAAAACTGTATCTTAAATCTCAAAAAATTTCAAAAAAACTGTATCTTAAATCTTAAAAAAACTTTTTAATTTTTGAGACCAGTTTAGGTTTTAAAAATTAGAAAATATAAACACACATATAAAAAGAAAGAATTCCCACTCACTGGTTTGTTATGACTACCTTCCTCCCCCTCCTTCATTTCTCATCTCCCCCCCCCCTCCCCATTTATTACATCTGTATAAAAATTCTCATCCATCCTTTTATTCCTACCCCTACATTGTATTAAGCACCTGAGAGTAACTTGACACTGGAATGAAACTGGAACAGCTTTGACCATATCAAACTGTTCCTTGAATTGTTACTGACTTGTTTTTTCTTTTTTCTTGGTAGTTTTATAAAATCCAATCCTAAATTTTAAAAATTAATAAAAATTTTCCTGGGAGTTGAATCATAAAAATGAAGAGGTATAGGCTTAATTTTTTTTTTAAGTTATCTTGAATAGTTTAATTAGAGTTATCACAATGAATTGAATAGTGGTCTTTTTAAAACAGAAATGAAAAACATCATCAAATGTGCATCATTAGTAGATAAATTTAAATGGGGAAACTCAGAATCATCTGAATTTTTTATTTTATGCTTTTAAACATTTTATTAAATTTTCATTACTATACTAAACAAGTTTTGAATTACTAAATTAATTTTAATGAATAATAAACAATTGTTTTTTTATTAACCAGTGGCCAACAATTGGTTGAGAGAATTATAGATAAAAAACATTAATATTTAATAAAGTTGTTTACCATCACTTTCTGCATTTCATTGTTTTATCAATTTCTACATTATACATGCTACAAGATGTTTTATATGATGCATCTATTATTGTATTTAATTTAGTATTTAATAATTTACAAAATGCGAGGCAATTTTATGAAGAAGGAGGTGTGGGAAAATTTTTGAAAAATATTTAACATCAACTTCTGTGTATTAAGCCTTTAGGAGTACCACCTTTTTTTCTTTTCATTTTTCATAACTCCTGTTTTATAAGTAACGAATTGATGTAAATTTTACAATTTTTTATGAAAATCTATTTATGAAAAGACCACTCTCCAATTCTTTGTAACAACTCTAACTAAACTAGTCAAGAAAATATCTTTAAAAAAAATTGAGCAACATAGGCATTTTTGTAATTAAACTCGACCCAGTAAAATTGCACAAAAAGGTATAAAATACAGGTGTTATTTTTGTTTTTATATACTTTAAGTTGTTTTATTGGATTACTTTTTTCAAAATGTGTACACATTTTCAAAATGTGTACACATTTTCAATATCAAATAATCCAATATGTACACATTAGAAAAGACACATTAAAAGTAATCCAATATGTACACATTTTCAAAATGTGTACATATTGGATTACTTTTTTCAAAAAGTGTACACATTTTCAGCTTTCCATTACACACAGAACAGAAACAAAAACCAAAGCCATTTTTCAAAGTGACGGGTTTTTGTTGGTTGAAGGCAAAGTTTGAATAGCCATATCTTTCAAACGAATTGGAGTTAGATGATAAAATTTAGGGAATGCTCATAAACTAATAAAATCTTTGAGTGGTGTAAAAATCAGCAAAATCTGAGATTTAAAGTCGTCTGCCCTGAATGTTACCACATAGAAATACCAATATCCAATATACATATAGGCTTTGTTTTAAATAAAAAACAGCTTAGCGCTATAGCATGTCGTGATTTTGACGTCATAAAATTATCACAATAAAAAAACTACCGCAATAAAAATTACTGCAAAATAAATTTATTTTATTAATTAAGAAAAACAAATCTAGAAGTGTTTTCTAAATGTACTCTTAAAGGGATCCCAAACTCCCAACACATGTTGTGTTCATATTAAAGATAATGTTAAAAAAAAAGGTTTGAACCAAATTTTTTTGATTAAAAATAAATAATGAATGCATACCATGAAAAACAAATGTTGTTGTTTTTGCCGAAGCTCGTCTTCTCCATTTTTTTGAACTACTCGAAGTCTTCAAATTATGCGTCGCAATCTACAGACTTTGGCAATTCCTTTGAAGCGCGTTTAATTCATAAAAGTTTTAGTATTTGACGTCAAGGTAGACTTTTAACAAATGAAACTCTAGAAATATTTTTATTTATTTTTAGTTTAAGCTTTTTTGATTATTTGTTTAGTTTTTTATTTTTCTACTTTAAATATGTTAAAAGATAATAAAAACCTTAAATATTTTATGCTGGTTCGTTGCTATAAATTGTTATTGCGCCATAAATTTAATGTTTATAAATTATGAATATTTATTATCTCAAAAATTGTTTTACATTAAATACCCGTATAAAATTAGTAACAGCTTTTTTATTTGGTTAGACAATATTTCATTTCAATTTGCTTTGCATGAAGTTTGGAAAGTCAAACGAAAAAAATTAGTTTGAACAACCACGTCGAAATATATTTAAAACAAATTATTTTAATGACGATGGTTCTAAAGTTTTTTATAACAAATGTAGGTAAAAAAATAAATAACTAAATAAAAAGTTCAGTAATAAACACCATTTCTTTATGCTATTGCAACTGTAAATATTGAATTATTAACTTGAACTAAATTTACTTATTATTTAGAACGACTAAGCAATAAAAATAAAATGCCCCTAAAATTATGCGAGATTGTGTTGTTTATTTGGTAATTGTTGTTGGTAATGTTGTTTATGTTGATTATTTTCTTAAATATCAAAATAGCTCCAGATTAATCTGTTCATTGCTTTGCTCATTGTTGATTTATTTCTAATTTAATTTTATCACAAACTATAATTATATGTTAAAAAAGAAAAGTTTTTATTTCATCGCGCGCTCTTTTTATAAGAGTAGAACAAAAGAGAAAGAAAAGTTTTGCGCAATTAAACTTTGAATGAATAAGAGTTGTATAGAATATATATATTTTTTGCTTCACTCATTCTTTTTTTAGATGAGAGAAATAAAAGTTTAATAGTAAATTTTCTTTGAATAAATGAGAATTGGAAGAGAAAATTGCTTGAAAATTTGTATTTGTTAATTGTGTTTTTAAAAATTTTTAATTTTTTATGTTAAGAGACAAATGCCAATTACGACACAAATTCGGAAATACCAAATATAATATGTTTTTTAATGCGCGTTATGACATTTTAACAATTTAAATCACCATCTATCTTGAATTATTGCCTTAAATAAATGTGTTAATTATTGCGTTATTTAATAATAATTTGTCCGTATTTTTGTTAAATATTAGTTGTATAAAACGGGCAAAAATATACAAACTTCATGTTTTTTATGTGATGGTTATAAAATATTGAACAGTAAACTTATAATCAAAATTTATAGTGCCGACTTGTGTTGCAATTAATTGTACTTTTAATGCAAAATCAGGATCTCACAAATCTATTCACGAATTTTCATATCTGATACTACTGTCAACTGAATTGCTTAGTGTATTCTTGTACTTTTTTTCATAATCTTAACAGGTTCTAATTGGTATGGAGTTGACATTATAAAAATTTCATTATCAAAAATCAAATGTAAAATAAAATGGTATTTCCTTTTTATCCGTATCCAATTCAGCAAATTTAGCAATTTAAATTAAATCAGCGTGATCAAAAAATTTTTATAATAAAAAAAGTTACCAGTTCATTAAATATCTCTAATTAATACTGTCAGTTTATGAAAGTAATTGTTAACAAATACTTTTTTTCAACGGGAAAACAAAAAATTGTCATAGCGTAAAAATAACCAGAGAAGTTAGATAGTAGTTCCCATTGTTTAAATAAAAATAATTAAGAATCAGAATATATAATACTGCGCTCTCTTGCGCAAAAACAAGAGACCGTATATAAAACGTTCTATATAATGTAAAATACTCGTATGAAAATCATGAGATTGGTAAGTAAAGCTTTAATATTTGTTTTAATTTAAATAATTAAAGAAATATAAGTAAGATATATAAATCTAAAAATTATTAAGATATCTGTAAAAAATAAGTTGCTCCTATAAAATAAAAATAATTTATTGTTTTTACTTTTTACAAAATTTTTTTTTGCGATGTTTGGAAAAATAATACAAATAAATTTTTTTTGCTGTAAGTTAAAAAAATACTACAATAGAAAATCGCAGCTTAGTTTAATTACACTTTTCTTTTGTTAAAAGTCTACCTTGACGTCAAATACTAAAACTTTTATGAATTAAACGCGCTTCAAAGGAATTGCCAAAGTCTGTAGATTGCAACGCATAATTTGAAGACTCCGAGTAGTTCAAAAAGATGGAGAAGACGAGCTTCGGCAAAAACAACAACATTTGTTTTTCACGGTATGCATTCATTATTTATTTTTAATCAAAAAAATTTGGTTCAAACCTTTTTTTTTAACATTATCTTTAATATGAACACAACATGTGTTGGGAGTTTGGGATCCCTTTAAGTCTTTATTATAAGGTGGGGGTGGGGGATAAAGGGGGGAAGGGATTATAGTACAGATTTAATATAGATTTTATATTTTTAGACAGCAAGTGAAAATTAACAAAAGGGGAGGGGGTCTAAATAAGCTTGGGGTAGGTGGCAAAATTTTCCAAAAATTAATAAATGTCCCCCCTCCCTCCTTGTATTATGGACTGTTTATTTTGTTCCATTTTTTTGTTTTCTTTTGTTTTTTAATATTATATAATTAAATTTAATATTAAAGTTTTATTTTCAATTAACATAGATTAAATTTAGAAGTTAATGTTGAATTACCATTTAAGATGAACTTCTTTCTTTTCTTGACATTTATAAAAATGAATTAAAATATAATAATTCTTTTCTTCATTATTTCTTTAAATTGCAACTTTACAAATAATGATTTTTTACTTTTAAAAAAGTTTTTAACAAACAAAAAATATTACTTGTTGCAAAGAAAAAAAACTTAATTACTTTACCAGCGCTTTTTTATTGTGACAAACAAAAAATTAAGTTTCCAAGTACCATTTATTAAAAAATATATATTGTAATGCTTTCACTTTCCTTAATGCAAAAAAAGTTAAACGTACACTTAATATTTTTGATGCAGTGTTATAAGTTATAACATGTTTACAAAAAAAATAAATTTTTGTAAAAAATAGAAAAGGAGGAAGAAAAAAAAAAACAGAGAAAAAAAATCAATTTTTTAAAATTTAAATAATTTTTTTATTCAAAAGTCTTTCTAAATTATAAGGAAACTTATGTTTTAACTTTTTTGGTATCGCACATCTGTTAATTATATAAAGTTGATGTAACTATTATAAAATATTCTTCATCTATTAGGCTGACACAGATGTATTTATAATACATTATATCCAGCTAGGGATCTTGAATGCTGGATCTTCTTGACTCAATGCATAAGTTTCGCTTGTGTCACTGAATTTATGACTAGGCAACTCATTATATTATCTGCTAATGAGGATACAGCTCTAAAACTCAGTTTTATGGTTCTGAGGCCGGCTGGTAGTCAGGTTTGTTGATGGTTATCTTTCTTTAATTCATAAAGATTCCAATAGTAACATGCTTGGCCTGGGTATTTACATTCATTAGAATTCCCCTATTTGTCGGGAAACTAGGTTTGAATCCACAGATTATTCATTTATGTGCTCTTATTTAGTACCACTTCATTCGATTGCTTTTCTCTTTGTTCTATATTTCTTTTTTTTTATCTCAAGACTGCACTCTTTTTGATGTTATTTCTGGTCAAATTGACTAAGCCCTTTTTCTTTATCCTTCAGCCATTATCGTTGTTGGTGACTTTATCGCTCATCACACTGAATGGCTTAGTTCTAGTGTCAGTGACTGCAGGCATTAAGGCCCACAATTTTTGCCATTTCTTAATCTCTAACTCAAATAGTCAACTTTTCAACTCGCTTTCCAGACAACCTTAACCATTTACTCTACTCAACTTATTTCTTGTTTCTGGTCCTAGTCAGTGCTCAGTTTCTTCACATTCATCCTTAGGTGCTCCTGATCACGGTTTCATCTCTCTAAACCTATTATCTCATTCTTCTTCATCATCAGAATCCTTTTATCATTTTACCTCTTACAACTACCTTAAACTCTTTCTTTAATTTTCTTTGTGATGGCCCTTGGGTAGAAACCTTTTGTCTTCCTGCTGACAAATGTGCTTCTTACCTAACTTTGTGGATTCAGGCTAGCATGGAATCTTTTATTCCCTTTCGATGATACCAAGTCAACCCTCACTCTTCTCCATGGCTTTCTTCAAATTGTGCTGCTGCAATTTCCAATTGAAACTGTTACTTTCATATCTATCAGCAAAACTATTCTTCAGAAAACAGACGTCTGATTATTATTGCTAGAAACTATAGTAAAAAGGTTTTTTCTAATGCCAAAGCCTACTACTTTCAGGTCATAAAATCTTGTTTTTTATCACAAAAATCAGGCAGTTGTGACTACTGTATAATCTTTAACAGTATTAATAAGGGCAAACCTGTTATTCCACCCCTTTTCTATGGTTCAGACTTTGTCACCTCACCTAGACAAAGCTGAATTGTTTGCTAAGAACTTATCATCAATATCATCTTTCAATTCCACTAGTTATTTTCTACCTGATATAACTGACAAACAGGTTGATCCATTGCTTGACATTTGTATAACTCCAGCTTCTGTATCTAAAGTAATTTCCTGCTTAGACTCTTCTACTTAGAAAGTTGATGAATTTTGAAAGAAACTTAAGAGCAAATAATCAGATGAAGAAGATTTGTTTATTATATTTAATAATATCGTTTATTTTCAAATCATATTTATGATATAATTTGTAAAATTCTTTAAAATTAATTTTTTTTGAATAAACCTATTTAGACTTGTATGGTTTACTTATAAAAACTGAATACTTTTCTTTTAAATGTAGAAAAATAAAAAATCAGTTCAATATATTGAATGCTTATTTATTTATTAACTTATTTCCTCATTAAAAGCAACACAATATTATTTTAATTTTTTTTTTTTTTAGTCGCAATGTCATTTGATGTCATAATAAATGATTTATACACTTTAAAACACGATGAGTTTAACTAAAATTTATAGAATAAAATTGAAATTTTATAATTTATAATAAATAATAAACAATTTTATTATAATAAAATTTATAATAAATTTATAATAGAATTTATTTAATGATAAAATTACATTATAAAAATATATAAATGAAAATACGAATCATTTCACAAAACAGTATAAAAAATATAGGTTCTAAAATAAACTGTTTAAACATCACTAAAAATAAA